GGGGTGGACGGCGTTGGGTGGGCGATGGTGGGAACTGAGGCGGGGGTGGGTGCTCCAGCCTCCAGGGGTTCTAGGGCAGTGAGGGTCATGTGACTACAAGGGTATTTTGGACGTTTCCCTCTTAAAATCAGCCCTCACTAAAAATGAGGAAAAGTCAAAGTAAGAAGTTTATTCCCGGACGGAGGGAGTACCTTTTTCTAACTCTTTCAAGTTTCTTCCAACACCTTCGAATTTCTTCTAGTTACATCAAACCCTATTTTTTCAACCCAAAGAACAAAGCCTAAGTGCATTTTGTAGTTAAGTTATGTTTTTTCTTAATTATAAGGGAAGGCCCTTGACCGAGGTGCTGCTTTGCTGAAAGTAGACAAGCTAGTGACCGGCCATAATGCAGATGATATAGCAGAAACCGTTCTTTTGAATATTTTGCGTGGTGATATTGCCAGGTAACAGGCTTTTTTAAGTGCCCGTTTGGCAACAACTTTAGCATTTGTATATGCTATCGAACGGAAGCAATTAGCTTTAGCGTTTTCAAAGCTAATTTGCACCATTAAAAATTATCCAAAATGTTGTTTCCAAATGAGGTTTAAGTTTATGTTTGTGATTTATTATTTCTTCATGTGCTTCATTTGTAAAGAGTTACTGCAGTTAATAATCTTAAAATACTGTAGGTTGAGTAGATGTACATCTATAATTACTGGAGAAGATGGACCAATTCCAAGGTGCAAGCCTTTCAAATACACATACGAGAAGGAAATTGTTATATATCCTTCATTCACTGCATGTCTTTTACGCGTGGATGCATAATTGTTGTTTTTTTAATTATGATATTGTTATTGACTGCATTTCTTTAACCTAATGAATACGTACGCATACTTCAAAAAGTTGGATTACTTCTCCACTGAATGTAAGTCTATATTACATCTTTTATCTGGGTTATTGTAATACTTTTAGATTCTACTATTTGGAAACAACCTCTCTACTTTATGGTAGGGATAAGGTCTACGTATATACACCCTCCTCAGACTCTACCTTTTGTGGGACTTTACTGGGTTTGTTAATGTTGTTGTATGTTGTATTTTTTGGTGGTATCACAACTGGTTCATGTGATTCAGGTATTTATTCTCCAAATGCATACCGTGGCTTTGCTCGTGAGTTCATTAAGGATTTAGAGAGAATCAGGTTAAAATATACTCCATTTGTCCCGAATTTAAATTCATTGTTTGACTTCATGGAGTATAAGAAAAAGTGTTGAAAAGTAAATAATCTGTGGTCGGAATTTGCTTAGAGAGAGAGAGAGAGAAAGAGAGAGAGAGACTTGTTAGGAGCTACATATTCCATTCTTGAAAAGGAAAGTGGAGAAGTATTAATTTTATTTTTGTGTGGGCAATAAAGAAGTGTGAATTTAATTTGGAAATGGTGGGGCGTTGGCTTCAATATTTTTTCCTTTACTAACCTATCTGTGTATGGTCCATTATAGGCCCAGGGGCATATTGGATATTATTAAATCTGGCGAGGACTTCCGGATCTCTACTTCCACAAAAATGCCCGAACTCGGAACTTGTGAACGGTGCGGTTATATTTCCAGCCAGGTAAAAAAAGTAGATAATTTTTCAATGTACTCCCTTCATCCTATATCTCTTTCTCGTTTTCACTTGGAATGCTTTTAACGTAAGCTGAAAAATATTTGACTTTCCATTTTTGCGTTGTTGGTGTAGTAAATAGAAGAGCTGTAAAAAGGGAATAGTGCAAAATAATGGTAAAGTAGTCTTTTGGTTGTAAAAAGCTGAATAATATTTCCATTCAAGGCAAGGGGAAAGGGGTATAATGTTTCTATACATGACAACCCAAAAAGGAAAACTGAAAGATAGATATAATACAAAGGGAGTATATTTTCAGGCCTATTATCAAAATAAGCTGGTGACTTATTTGGGCAATATGGATTATTGATGTTTTGAAACCTTTTTCCATTCACAAAATTCAGCTATTTAAGCTGAATACACTTACAGAATGAACCATTATTCTTTTGTTTCTTAAATACACAGAAATGGTGCAAAGCTTGTGTTTTGCTGGATGGGCTAAACCGGGGCTTACCCAAACTGGGGATTGGGCGTCGCCGAGAACTCAATAATTCCAAGAACGCGAATCAAGAAAATGGGACCAAGAATTTGCAGAGCAAGCAGTGTGGTAGTTTGGACTTCTGATGCCCACTTTTACGAATCCATTGTTGACTTTCCTTGTGCATCATCCAAAGTTTTTTTTAAATATAACGGAACTTTCTTTTTAAAAACAGCCTCCCTTCTTTCAAGTAGGGTAAGCTCTGCGTACACTTGCCCTTCCCGGACCCCACTTTTTGTGGGATTCAACTGAGTATGTTGTTGTTGTTAACTGAACATTCTTTAAAGGAGAGAGAGTGAAGGTGAACAAAAACCCAGAACGAAAACGTATCCTCTGATTATGAATCTCATCTCTTCTCACCCCTTAATCATCTCTACCATCCAATTTCATCATCTGTACAAATTCTTCATAGTTTATGTTCCCGTCCTGCATAGCCAGAATATCAACAAAGAATGGTGGCTTTCAGGTGTGTCTTTAATACTTAAAGGAACTCTATATAGTGGAAGAAGATGATAGGCTTCAACTATATACTTACTTTATTTGTATCTACATCTTGAAGGATTTGGTCGATGGTGGCTTCATCTCCCATGCCATATTCACTCATTGCTTGTCGAAGCTCCTCTCTTGTAATGTATCTGGTAAGTTAAATGTATCCGGTAATAATACTCCATAATAATTAATACTAGTACTATACTCCCCCATCCCCCCCAAAAAAATGTTCATCATTTCCTTTTTGGATTGTCCCTATAAAAGGTTCGGCCTTTTTCTATTAAAGGAAATGTTTGTGCTGCTTTCTCTTTTATGCCCTTGACTTATTTTAGAATCCATCGTATGCCCACTACTCAGTTACCTCTTCCACTTATTATCCAAGGGTACCATTGGAATGTCAATAGCAGTTTTCACTCTTTTTAATCTCCATGTCGAGTCAAATGAAGAGCCCTTTTTTGGGACGGAGAGAGCAGATAATATTAATATTAATAAATACGAATAATATTGATACATACCCACTGTCATCCTTGTCAAAATGTTGAAAAGCCTTGAACAAGTTATCTTCTTTGTCAAGCTTATGGCGGTGCATGGTGGCAGTGATGAACTCAAGGTAGTCTAGGGTTCCATTCTTGTCCACATCAGCCTAGGAAAAATAAAGATTTATATGTATTTCCAGGAATTAGATGATCATATGAATGCTTTCTTCTGAAAACTTATGTCCAACTTCGTCTCCGTTTTATCATAGGAAAATAAGTTGTTGCAGAAAAAAACAAACAGAAAATTTTGATTTTTTTAACTCCTAAATATTTCCGCTCCGAGGGTAGTAGTGGAATTCTTACTGCATCCATCAGTTGTTGAATTTCAGCCTCTGGGAGTTTAGATCCAAGCTTGGCTAACCCAGTTTTGAGTTCTTCACATGTGATACTTCCACTCCTATCTGTGTCCATATTGTTGAACATCTCTCTCAGCCCCATAATCTCCTCTTCTGCTAATGTCTCTGCAATTACCTTTTCAAAGGAATGCCCAAACCAAAAAAAAGGATTTTATTGCACAATTATTTCCATTAGATCCTATATTTACTCTATAAGCCATCATTATCTGATTATGAACCATGTGAAAAAGGTTTGGGGTTACTTTAGCAGTTACTATTATCTTATTACAACCTTCATAGCAAGCTGCTTCATCTTGTTCATTGCTCTGAATTTCTTCATCCTGCTCAGAACTGCACTATCCATTGGTAAATCCGTTGCTTTGCCGTCTTCCTTCAGCCACGGGTGTTCTGTAACGGTCCAAATAAACATTTATCGACAAACCAAGAACATGTACTTCTGTCCCAATTTACTTTTCCAGTTTGACATTTTTTGGTCAAAGCTCACAAACTACGACAGAATTTTGACGATAAAGTATATTTTAGGTATTATTTAATTTGGTATCATTATATTCTTATCGAAATGTAGTTTTGAAATATCATATTTTTAGAAATATTAATGACGATCTACATTGGGACGGAGGGGGACATGAAATATTATGAAGATAGGCTAAACCTTCCTTCCAAACAGTCCCTTCACTCACCAAGGGCTTGAGCTGCAGTTATCCTTTTCTTGGGTTCCATGCACAGCATCTTTGTGATAAGGTCCTTTGCATCAGAAGATATAGAAGGCCAAGGCTGTGTTTGGAGGTCAATTTCTCCTCCCAATATTTTTTTAAATATGCCTTTTTCATTGTCTTGAGTATAGCACGCAAAGAATTAGTATACATATATTGGGCAAGGTAAGATGGCTTTGCATATGCTTTTTTTGTATGCATATGACTTCGTTTTTTTTACGTTCCTTCGCGTAAAATGAAAATTTAATTTAGAGACAGATTAAATATGACTTACCAGCCCAAAAAGGAGGTCGTCCACACAATAGGATATATAGAATAACTCCGGCACTCCATACGTCTATCTCCTTCCCGTATCTATTCTGCAACACCTCCGGTGCAACGTAGAAAGCACTTCCGGCGATGCCTCTATAAACTTTCTCTGTTACGTTGTTTGTAAAATCATGTTTGAAACTTATCATCACGTACTCTCTCTATTCCACAATAACTGTCTATTAGATACATTAGATTTTGAATGAATGTAGACTTACGTATGTCTACATTCAATCCAAATCTAATGTATCTGACAAACCTTAATAGACAGTTATTTTGGAACGAAGAGAGTACTTATTAAGATGTTGTTCATTAATGTGACCATCTTATTAAGATGTTCATGTGTTACCTTCTTCAAAAAAGAGAGCCAATCCGAAATCAATGACCTTCAAGGGAGAGTGTTCATCATTGCTAGAAAACAAGAAGTTCTCAGGTTTGAGGTCTCTATGTATGACCCCCATGAAATGGCAAACATGAACCACATTCACAACCTGTCTCCCAATCTCTGCCGCTTCCTTCTCCGAGTAACTCCCCTTCTCCGTTATCCTGTCGAACAGCTCCCCGCCGGAGCAAAGCTCCATCACCACGTACAACGACCTCCGGTCCTCGTACGCCCCTTTGAACTCCACGACGTTTGGTTGTCCGCTCAAGTACTCCAACACCTTGTTTATTGCAACACCGCGCGAGAATATAAAAGAAAGAACAATAGGTTAATAATAAATAGAGCTCGAGTTGTTCAATTATGTGATTGGTTTGATTCAATCTTTTGATTTGATTACATATTTCATTTGTGTGGCCACAGATTCTTTCACAAAATTTCAAGTCTATATACCATTTCTCATGTATACCATTTCAAGTCTAATTGTTAAAAATATTCTGTATCTTGTTATAATTTGCTAAGAAAAGAGAATTATCTTGGAGTGGATTCAAAGAGAAAATTAATACTCTCTCCATCCACTTCCGTTCCTATTTGAACTTTCACGATCTCCGGTACTATATTTTGAGCTTTGATATAGCTTTATGTATGTATGTATGTATGTATGTATATATATGTGTGTGTGTGTGTGTGCTTCCTTTGTTATGTAATTTTTTAAACTTTGACTTGATACGATTTTTAATAAATTGTAATGCTTGTGGTTATGATTTGTGTGGATAAAAAATAAATATATGGGCCCCACAATCGTTTTTTTTAAAAGAAATTAAGAGTGGAAGAAAGTTTTGGGAGGACTCAAAAAGAAAGTGAGAAGATAATTATGGAACGGAGAGAGTTTATTGCGATGTACTCCGTATGAAATATGATACTCCCTCCATCCTAAAACTTTCTTCCCGTTGCGCAAAACGAAAAAAATTCAAGTTTTTTCAATCTATTTTATTTAAATATTGGTATAGAAATAAAAAATAAAATATACATATTTAAAAACTACATCAAAAGTTCAACAAAACAAGTGGTGACAAGAATATTTTATTTTATCATATTGGCCATGAAAAAACACAAATAAATATAAATTCCTGTGAAATTGAAATAGTGTTCTAGGAAGAAAATTTTAAGATGGAGGAAGTACTATATATGGGAGCATTTCAAAAATATATTTCAAAACAAACATATTGATATTAAATTTATGTAATACTATTTTAATTTTTTTTTAAATAATCAGTAGTCAAAGTTCAATTCAAACATGCATTATATTATACCTTAATTTCCCTTCTTGCATCATCAATGTTCTTCTTGCCCACAAGCTTCCTTGTAGAGATCTCCTTGCATGCGTAGGCTAATCCGGTGGACTTCTCCGTGCACGAATACGTGATCCCGAACTGCCCTCTCCCCAGCTCCGCCCCGAAATCGTACAACGCCGCGATGTCCACTAATGGCTTCTCCAGAATGGGCCCCACTGCGGCACACGGTGGAAGGGTCGCCGACCGCGTCAGCTTTGGCTGAGGCGGCGGCGACGCAGGTGATGACAACGGTGGCGGTGACGGCGAAGGAGGTGGTGGGGCCCGGTTCGGGATACTGTAGTAGTAGTAGTAGTAGTCATCGGAATAATCGTCGTATGATGGTTGTTTGTGTCTTGAGCAGCAGAGGCCCATTGAATTAGCTTGCTAGCTGCCGGAAAACTGGCCGGCGGGGAAGAGGAGGCCGCCGGGGCTGGGGGGGGATTTGTTAATGCCGTCGTGGGAGGGTAAAAGGTTTTGCATTGTTAAGTATTTGGGGGAGGGGGGTGCCTTTTGAGGTTCTTTGCTTTGCTTAAACCTTAGTTTTAATTTGGATTATTATAGATATATCCAAGGTTCCCTTTTGCATGGACATATTGAATAATAATACTCCTTTCCAGAATGAAATTTCTTAATTGTCACCCTTTTAAAATAAAGGTTAGGATCTTCTAAATACTTGTCTTTGAAAAAAAATGTAGGTGTATATAGACTATAGTGATCCAATATTCTTGAAAACCGGCCCAAACGCATTGATCCAGAGGAGTGAGTGGATCAAGCTAGTGACTAATTGATTCGGTTAAACGCGAGTCAACGAATTTATGACAAGAATTTTAATAGTACCGTAATATTTTATGACAAGAATCTTTTATTATTAATAAAAGTAATTTAATCTAAACTTAGATTAAATTTTCAAATTTATCATTTCTAATGGACATTACGTTTTTCCAAAATACTCTTTTCTAACTAAGGAGGTGTATTTGATATAAATTGTGAAAGAACCAACTCAACCAAAAGCTCAAGCTTGTGGTTGTGGCCGTCTAAGAACAATTATTTATATTCTAACACGCTCCCTCACGTGCAGGCGTAGTCTTTTTCGAGCTTTGCACGTGAAACTTTAATTTTTTTTGAACTGGGTGGCACTGAGTTTCGAACCCGTGACCTCTTAGTCAAGGAGGTTCTGATACAATGTCAAGAAGCCAATTCAACCATAAGCTAAAGCTTGTGGTTGTGGCCCAGAAACAGTTATTTATATTCTAACACGTCCCATCACGTGCAGGCGTAGTCTTTTTCGAGCCTTGCACGTGAAACCTTAATTTTTTTAAACGAGGTGGCGCTGAGTTTCGAACCCGTGACCCCTTAGTCAACGAGGCTCTGATACCATGTCAAAGAACCAACTCAACCAAAAGCTCAAGCTTGTGGTTTTTGAACTTCCGATGTGGGATGACACTCTAACATAAATTTTAAAATATTTTGATAGTTTTTAAATAATTCATGAATTATGTATACTCAGTGATTGATTTAATTTTACATGAGTTTTTATAGAATATTAAACATATTGAGTATTTACTTTAAGTTTAGATAATGGAAATACTAAAATATCCTTTAACTCATCACCATTTAAGTGAGAGTTTTTACGAATGATTATTTAGGAAATAAATCTCAATTATAAAGTATCAGCCAAGATAAACAACTAACCACCAACAAACAGGTTCCAAACAAGACCAAAATACATAAATCAAATAATGGCAAGGATCTTTTGACCTTAGAACCTCGGGTCATATTATGACCTGAGCACCTACAGGATACGGTGCTCCATTCATGAAATTGATGGAGATGGAGCAGGAATGCTTAGGTGGGGTGCGCATGTAGGCGGCAGAGGAGTAAGGTTCATGGAGGTAGAAACCATCAGTTTTACGAACGGAGCACCATAAGTGCATCGAGTCATAATATGACCTGAGGTTCCAAGGTCAAAAGAACCGTTGTGACTTGTGATCAACAAAAACCATTTTTATTCTAATATTATGCCCATTATAATTTGTATTTAATTGCTGTCAAAAGTTCTTCTAATCTGACTAGAAAAAGTCAAACTAGATGATTATACTAGAACAAAAATAGTAGCTGTTTAGAGATTAAAAAATAAAAAATGTATACACATGCACACACATACACACACACACTTTTTTGAAAACTATAAACACTTTATTTGCTATATTACAAAATAAATGCCATACAAGTTTTTTACGTCAACGTTAAAAATAAATATTTATTGGAGTAAATCCGACTTTCATCTAATTCATACGGAGTAGTAATTAATACTATTGTAAGCTTGTAATATAGAAGTATTTAATTTAATTCTCCAAAAAGGTGAAATCGCTCACCCCGAGCGCCCCTCACCCCTGACCCGACGGGAATGTGAGAGGAGGTAAATCACGGTGACCCAAGCAACAACACTTAGCTAGACCATATCCTAGTGCGCACCAGAGACTTCCCCCATTTTTCAGAGGTGGTCGCCCCCACAACGGTCGCTGCCAGGTTTCAATCCTTGATCATTCTCCAAACTTCACCAAGTGCTTGCCACTTGGGCTACCCGTGCGGATAGAAGTATTTAATTTAATGATAAACAATACGGTGGTTAAATGAAAAGACATCAATAATGTTTGTATTTTTACCACTAAGCAAAAGTTCAATGGATTCTATCTTTTCTTTTAATTACGGAGTATTATTTTTATTTTCTCATTTGTTTGATTGATTGATTTACTTTTTTCAATTTTCAAGTTTCATTTTTTAATTTTTGAAAAAATGGTGTTTTCATGAGAAGTTTGATGTTCTCAAAACGGTTCCATCCAAACAGAGCCTTGTATTACGGGTAGATATTGGAGGCTATATGATCGCCCGGTTAACCGGTTGAATAGAGTTAGGGCAGCTTCGCGAACCGGCTATAAATACTTGCGACGTCGCGCTAAAAAGCGGCCAGGGCGTGAAAAGAAGAAACGAAGCCGAAGAAGGAGAAGAAGAAGAGGGCTCTTCTCTCGTGAACCGGACGCTATTTCTGTTTCGATCCTAAATCCAATCCCCATTCAATCCACAGGTAATCTGTCTACGGATTATGATTCGAAGTTCTTCAGATCTCGGCATCGATTTTGGATTTTGTTTCGCTTTAGTGTTGAATTGAATGAAAAAAACCCTAACTCGATTTGAAGAACCCTAGGTAGTTTAACTGGTTGATTCCGCGATTTGTTTTCGATTTCAATCTCAGTTTAGGAGAGCCTGTCCTGTTTCGCGATGCGATGTGTTTTGATTGAAGTGCGATTTATCCGAATATTGCGTCTTTAAGGTAGTCTGTTTTGCTTATTGCGTTGGTTGTAGATAGATGGATCGGTACCAGAAAGTCGAGAAGCCCAGGGAAGTAACACCCATTGATGAGAATGAGATTCGGATCACCAGCCAAGGAAGGATGAGAAGCTACATCACCTATGCTATGACTCTTCTTCAGGTACAAATTGCTCGTTTACACCGAAAGCTTGTGTGCTCAGCGCACACTAGTTTATGTTCATTCCAGTTCTGTTGTTGAAAATTTGTGTTCCACCTTTCTGATTACCAATACGCACTGAATGGGAAAATTTAAGTTGAAGGTCTTGTTTGTGTCTTTACAAAGACCAACTCAAGTAAGAAACTGGATTGTTGCTTGAAATGTGGTTATCACAGTTTGGGACAACTATATACCATGACTAGACAGTAGTTATGCTCTCCTGAAATATATACCTTTTTTATTATTTGCTCATAGGATCTTAAATTTTACTTGTTTTGTCTTTACATCATTGTCACCAGATATACTCATAGATGTGTGTTGAAATGATACATTGATAATGCTACAGTTTTTTTTGCAATACAGGTTTTACATTGAGTTCATAGAGGGTTCAGTCTGTGATTATTGAATTGTTTTTTTAATGTAGGAAAAAGGAGCTGATGAGATTGTGTTCAAGGCCATGGGTAGAGCAATCAATAAAACTGTTACCATGGTTGAACTTATTAAGGTTGTCAATTAGTTTCTTTTAGGATCATAGCAATCTTATTTTTGTTACTGCTATTAATAGTGGTTTCTATCCAGATTTTTTGTTTGAGTCATTTTAAAATTGTTTTTATGTAGAGGAGGATTGTTGGTCTTCATCAGCTTACTACCATTACATCCACCGGCATCACCGATACGTATGAGCCACTGGAAGAAGGCCTCCTTCCGTAAGAACATTTTGATCTCTGTTTCACACTGGGATTTTTCCGCAGTAGTTTGTCTCTTATGTTTCTTTGCATGCAGATTGGAAAGCACGAGGCATGTTTCAATGATAACAATCTCTCTATCTAAGAAGGAGCTTGATACAAAGGCTGTTGGGTAAGTGTTCAGTGCTTTGCTGGTTAATGAAATCCTTGAGTCTAAACTAAGAGCACTCACTTCGAATTCGTAATTCTCATATGCCATTTTGTGGTTACACAGGTATCAGCCACCTATACCTGCAGATCAGGTGAAGGTTTTTACAGAGATTGAATATGAAGGAGGTAATGTCGTGTTTGCAAGCTACTATGACTTGTGTTATATATGATTTTATTTTTCATTGTCCTTGTTTGCTTTTTCATGGAGTTCAAATTTTGTTTTCAAGATTTGTGAGGTGAGAGAAGTAGTGTGAAGTATTTAATGCTTTCCTTAAATGAATGAGATTTTGGTATGACTTAAAAGGAATGAGGGAAGTTTATTTTTGGACAGAAGAAGAATTTCTTATTCTTTATGTTCTTTCAGAAGGATCACCTAATATGCGTGGAAGAGGTCAAGGTGGTAGAGGAAGGGGAAGGTCTAGGGCTCAGTATGGTATGCATTTTGATTACCATCTCTTGTTACAAAGATGTTTTATTATGTTTTGACTGATATTCCAGTATACACTTGAATTATTTGATAGATATAAGGGTTAATATGTGATTGATGCACACTCAATGCAAATGATGCCAAATTGAGTTGGATACAAGTGTCAAATTGAGTTTGATACTCAATATAACATTGCAATACAAGTTTGACCCAATTTAGTTATCATGTGTGTTTATCAATTATTAAAATGGGTATGTCTATATGCTGAGGAAGTAAATTGGGTCCAAGCAATGCAAATGATGCCAAATTGAGTGTGAAGTTGGATATGAACTTAGAACTAAATTTTTATGAGATCAAAATTGACTGCAACTTTTTATGGTGAAAGACTTAGTTGGTCCAATGAAAAGTTGATGAGCAATTTGGTTCGAAGTGTAATGATCTGTCAACCAATAGTTTAATGCCTGCCTTCTTGGTCCAGTTTTAGAACTTACATGTGAGGCTTGTTGTAGGAAATGGCTATATGGGTGGTGAGTATGAAGATGGTGGCTATGATAGACCTCGCAACTATGGTAGAGGAAGGGGCAGAGGTAGGGGCCGTTATTTCCGTGGTGGACGTGGAAGGGGTGGCGGTGGTGGTAATTTCAACTCTCAATATGATTCAACTATGCAAGATGGTGGCTACCATCAAGAGGCTCCTCCAGGCCGTGGACGTGGGAGGGCTGGTTACAACAACTCTCAGTATGGTTCCTCCCCGCAGCAAGATTTTGGATATCACGACAATCGTGGACGTGGAAGGGGTGGTTACAACAACTCTCAGTATGATGACCAGCACGATGGTGGATACTATCATGATGCTCCTCCAGTCCGTGGACGTGGAAGGGGTGGTTACAACAACTCTCACTATGATGCACCACAAGATGGTGGCTACAATCCCGATGCTCATGCTCAAGGCCGCGGTGGACGTGGAAGGGGTGGCGCTGGTTACAACAACACTCAGTATGATGCTCCGCAGGATGGTGGGAGAGGTATGCTAAATAATTGAGTTCTAGCCCATCTTTCATTTTCCCTCCCACTTTTCCCCAATTATCCTTCATACGCTACATTGAAAGGGTACACAGATGAATCTCAGGAACTACACACTGACTGGTAAACGTTGTTTGCAGGGCGCGGTGGTCGCTTTAGGGGACCATCTCGTGGGAGAGGCCGTGGTGGGGGCGGAGGCAACTACAGATCTAATAACAATGGACCGATGCCCCATTCTGCCGATGCCTAAGCTTTTGAAAAAGAAGAAGTCGCGTGCCCCTCGTTCCATGAAGAGTTTGCCTGCTCGGTTTCCTTTGTTATCCTCTCTGTTTTTATGCTTTCTTCTTCCACCTGATTTGTTTTGTCTGCCAGTGTTAATTATATAACTCTCTAGGGTTTACCAAAAAAAAAAAGAAGTCCATGAAATGCTTTGTAGACTAATTTTTAGAACATTCCGTTTCCACCTCTTTGTGGTGAGCCTTTTTGTATTCCTTTTCAATCACTATAATTTAGTAAGCATAGGAAGTAGTTCCGCTTTTATTTTCTTGTTTATGAAAAAAATTGGACTCGTCGGCAAGCAAGCATTCTTTAATTTATTTTCATGGTCGACTTGTTTTCCAATTTATGGCTTTTATATTGCTCGATAGAGTGTTCATTATTTCTATCTACTATCAATTGTTTTTGTCTTAGGGTCCGTTTGGTACACGGAATTGATGAAATTGGAATTGAATTGGAATTAAAATTTCATGGGATTCAAATCCATAGAATTGAATTCATCAATTCCAATTTATTTTTTGCACTACTAATTCTAAATTCACATAATTTTTGTGCTATCAATCACGAGAGTTGGAATTAGAGTCTTTAATTCCAATTTCATTGTTTGAATTTTGTATACCAAACCGAACCTTTGTATTTTATTTTAGGCAAATTAGCTTATTAGGGTGTTCATTTATGTGACCGTCTTATTAAGATGTTCATTTGTTACCTTGTTCATTCGAGTACAATCATATTTACAATAATGTTGTTTTGGTAGCAATAAGGTTAAAATATTTTTTTGACATAACGATTTTCTATACTTGGTATTCTATTATCAAATGTTATGTTCGTAGTTCTTTTATGAGTACCTTTCCACGGAGTCCTTTTTATCATGTTATTATTCAGAGTTAAAAGTATAATTTCACAATAACCATATATTTCTCTTGGCATACTTAATGCAGTTGCTTTATTATTTGTCTAACTGGAGTCGTTTACTATAACCATAGTCTTCATATGTCATTTCTGTTTGGAGTGTTAGTCCATGATCATAGTTATTATTGTTGAATTACATGTTAAGCCAACATTAGAATATGTTATTAGATATAGGTTGATGCGAAATTAAAATTTTAGCTCTCAAATTAATACCAACATAACAGAAGGTCAAAAAAGACTATCCGTGAAAAGATATCCTTAAAAGAAAGATTATCCTCGTAACATTTGATAATACAACAACAAAAACAATCCAGGTGAATCCCACAACAGTAGAGTCTGGAGAGAGTGTGTGTACGCAGATCTTGTCCCTACTCGGAAGTGGGGAGGCTGTTTCCAAGAGACCCCCGGCTCCACCTGCACGTAACATTTGATAATAAAAGACTAAATATAAAAACCTCTTGTTGTAAAGAATTCATTATTAAATTTTACTCAACAAGCTAATGAGAATAGTAAGAATTTGCATACCATCTAAAATGGTATAAATCTTAGGTTGGATTATTATATAATGGACTTTATATTTTATTTGCATAATTTTGTTGATATTTTAACAAAATAACAATATTGTTATGTCACCGTTCATTTTATAGAATTCTGATACGTAAGTTTTTTGTATGTATAGATCTTATAATATATTTCTACTAAATTTAAAATAATAAAATCTAATTAAGTAGTTCAGTTAAACATAACTAATCAAATTTAATTTTGTTTTGGGATGGATGAAATAATGGATTGGGTAGAACAAGACCCTGGTTTTATTGAGGTAGTAATTTTTTTTTTTGCAAAAAAGATAAAGTCAAAGGCACCAAATTATTGAAAAATATGGCACAAACGGATAAGACTTTAAAAAGTAATGCGCCCATGCAAAATGACGAGGTATGTACATATATATAGACAAACGTTTTTAGATCATGTCATTTTATAAACCTTCGAACATCTAACCAACGGATTAATCTTTTCAAAACGCTAACATATACGGCCGAAGGGGAAGGCAGAGTCTCTCCATACTAGGGTGCCACCACATGGGTGCACCCATGCTTCGCACAGACAAACACAAATGATTATTGTCTATGCGACACAGACAATTATCGTCTGTGTTTGTCTGTGCGAAACATGGGTACACCCATGGTAGCACCTATGTAGTGGCACCATAACATTTTCCAAACACACAGAGTATATAAATACACAGAGTATTCAGCATATAGAAAAAGACTTCTTCCATATTATTGTCCTCATTATCCAACGAACAATAATACTGTAATAATCTTAAATTAAATTCCACACAAAAAATGGGGGAGATAAGAGAGGACATAGTGATTGTCGGAGCTGGTATTTCTGGTCTCGCTACTGCCCTCGGACTTCACAGGTTTATGTTGTTTTCGTTAATTACTGTCAATTGGTATTTGTGTTGGCGGTTTGATTCCGTGCTCCGATGTCCGCCGCCGGCAAATTCCGGCAATCAACCCCTGTTGCTTGTTTCAGCCGTGTGATTATATGTTAGGTTTGGGAAAATTGTAAGTGTTTGATTACACTAAGCTTGAAAAAAACCCCAAATTTTGTTGTTCTTTTTCCGATCATTTGCTTCTGTCAATGAACTAATTTAACCAGAAATTCAAGATCAACAAGGGTCCGATACCATATTCAAAACCAATTAAACAAAAAAAACCCAAGCCAAAGTTTCGTGAATGCTTTTAAATACTCATAAAACAATAGCTGAATAATTCTAATAGCTTCAAAAGTTTTAATTTTACTTAAGTTTTTACCTTCTACTTTATTGTACTCCCTATTTTCTTTACTTAGCATTTTTTTTCTTATTCCTAGCTGATCCTAACTGTATCAATGTACTCCTTATCATATATTGAATTCATCTAATATGATTGATGATCTTGGATTAGGGAGGGGTTAAGGTGCTTAGTGTTGGAATCATCAGAGTGCTTAAGGAACACTGGCTTTGCCCTTTCTTTATGGACCAATGCGTGGAGGGCCCTCGATGCTCTCGGCATTGGAGATCATCTCCGACAACACTCTCTTCAAAACAACGAGTTAGTTCCCTATCTTCTTCTTTTTGTTGCAAAACGACTTGCATGAATATATGAACAAACATTGTTGTTTGATTGACCCAAGAGTTTTTAGTAATGATTTGTGTGAATAGTCTCCATGCTACCTCCCTTCTTCCCATTTGATTTTTCACGTTCTTCAATGCAACACTTTCACTATGAATATCTCTATTTATATATAAACTGTTGGTGATTTTAGTGTCATCAATTTATTTTGTGTAATTGGATTTACTTTGATCGGGCAAAAATTTAAATAGACGTTGTCAAACGAGTTAGGAGGCGCGGAGTGTGCGCTCGTTCAACGATATTAAATTTGGACGTTGTTTCTTTAAGAAAATCCTTAAGATTTTCGTGACCGGAGTCCAAAACGGTAAAGGACTCGTACACAATGGATAAACGTCGAAATTGAGCCTTAAACCGCATAAGACCTTTTGTTCAAACTCGCACCTCTCTTCTTCCTCGCGCGAACGTACGCGTACATCTACGCGAACGTTCATGTCCGATCACAAGGATTTTCGACTCTATAAAATAGAGTCTCGTGGTATGGGTTGAGGATCGGATTCTTGAGTGCTCGTTCTTGATTAATGTCTTATCCGATTGAAGTATTTCATATACCCCGAAATAACTTTGATCTGATAGCGTTTCGTACGCGATTCGTTATACTATCGAGTTCTTCTTTAAACACTGCTTCGCAGTGTTCTTCCTTATAAAAATCCAACATAAACTTATATTATAAAAATATGATATTTCAAAATTACGTTTCAAAATGAATCTATTGATATTAAATTTATATTACAATCTAATGTATTTTTTTCGTAATTTGTGGTCAAAGTTTAAAAATGTTGACCACAAAAGTCAAAACGGGCAAAAAGATATGGGATGCGGGGAGTGTTACTTTGAGTTGTGCATGCTACTCCGTGTACTTTGTTTCGAGTAGAGATAAGGTCTGCCTACAAACACCTTCACATACCCTACTTTTGGGGGGATTTTAGTATATTTGTTGTTGTTGTTGATTAACTTAAATATGAACAAACACTATTGTTTTATTGATCCGCGAGCAGGTTTCAAGTTTTTTCTGCAGATTCTGGCCTTCCTACTGCTTCTGTTCCGCTGCAGCTACACAAGAAGTGAGTTATATTGAGACACAAGTGTTTGTTTGGTAAATGTTTTCCATTTGATAGCCTTTTCAAAACGCCGAATCTGTCGCTAGATGGGCACTGAATCCATAGATATTTTTTTCTTTCGCCAAATAGGAATTTCGAAAGTCGGTGCTTGAGAAGGAAATTGGTGCTGGAGACATTGAACAAAGAACTACCCCAAGGAACCATAAGGTACTCTTCAAAGGTTGTTATGATTGAAGAATCCGGACTGTTCAAATTGGTTCATCTCTCTGACGGATCCGTTATCAAAACGAAGGTAGACAGTTCGCTTTAAGTACTTTGAAAGTGGTTGACCATGAGATTCGAACCCATGACTTCTAGGTCATCAAAACTCTGATACTATGTTAAAAAACCAATTCAATCAAAAGCTCAAACTTGTGGCTGAATGCTGAGAAGTTTTTACAAGGCATATAATGTTTACTTTTTATGAGTGGAAACTTAACTTAGCTTAATGTTTTTTTTTGTTTCTTAAAGGTGTTAATTGGGTGTGATGGAGTGAACTCAATGGTGGCCAAGTGGTTGGGACTACAGAGTGTGGTTGACTCCAAGAGATCTGCGATCAGGGGATTCGTTGAGTATCCCGAGACGCATGGGTACGAACCAAAATTCTACGCCTTTTTCGGAGGGGGTGTCCGCTTTGGTTTCCTTCCTTGTGATGAGAAGGGCTTGTATTGGTTTTGCACTTATAACCAATCCTCCATTCCCCACTGTAAGCAAACTAAACTAAATTGCTCCCAAGAGTGTTTCTATCATGCACATAATGTGCATCTTGGGCCTTCTCACATGTCATAAAAGCACAAAAAAACAAGTGTGTTACTGTTTCATAATTGCAGGCGATCAAAGGGACGAACACAATCCGATCAAACTGAAGGAGTTCGTCTTAAGCAAGACTAGGGACGTGTCGAAAGAGGTGACCGAGATTCTGGAGAGGACCCCACTGGACTTCATCTCCAATGCGAGGCTAAAGCTGAGACTCCCGTGGAATGTTCTGCTGGGAGACATTGCCCGGGACAACGTTTGTGTGGCCGGAGATGCCCTTCATCCGATGACACCCGACCTCGGACAGGGCGGGTGCTCTGCCCTAGAAGACAGCGTTGTCCTTGCCCGGTGCCTCGGAAGGGCATTTTCGGAAAACCAAAGAGACGGCGACGATGGTGAGGTGTTCACAAGGATTAAAGAGAGCCTTGAGAGGTACAAAAAGGAGAGGAGATGGAGAAGCTTTGTGCTAATCTCTACTGCTTACTTGATGGGTTTCATTCAAGAGAGTAATAGCAAAGTGATTAGCTACTTGAGGGATAATTTCTTGGTTCATTACACACTGAGGATTGCTCTAAGTATGGCTGATTTTGATTGTGGGAAACTTTTACTGCCTTGAATAAGATTTATGACAAGTGAATTTGTTTTCCATTCCTCTTTAATCCTCTGCTATTTTTACTTGTAAAGTCTGTGTGCTCACACTTTTCCCAGATTCTGTACTTTCGTAAATAAATATAATGCTGGATTGTTATTATCAAATCTTGTAAGATTGTGAAATCACATGTCAATAGGAGGGAGTTTCGTTGTGATATTCTTTAATAACATCAAAATTTGTTGATCTTATTGCCAGGTAAATCATAATTTAAATTGTAAGGGACGGCGACAAAGAATCTTTATGCTTATAAAGTTAGTGTGAAAGATACTCCTTTGTTCTAAAAAAATTTAATCCCTTGGACTTTCACCAAGCTTAAAAAAGTATTCAAAATGAATTTTTTTTATTAAATTATTTAATTGAGAGAAATTTTGTAAGTCACATGTTCATTACTCAATTAAGCCTTTGCCCAATCTAGCTCATTACTCTCTTAAACTAGAAAAGGTAGTTTCACTTTGACTTCACGGTGTTTAAAAAATAATAAAAATATAAAGTATAATTGTAATTTAATTTTATTAGAGGAAAGAGAAAGATTGTTGGAATCAAAATTTGACAAATCAAAATTAATTTGGGGAATGCAATTGAAAGGACCTCTTGGAGTCGGGACGGGTAAGAGGATTTACAAGTTAGGAGGTAGACTAACAAATTACCCCGGGTCCCCCGTGACATTGGAAACCAGGGAACCGATTCAAACAAACATTGTACGGAGTAGTTTGTAAATACGAGCAAACCCCAGAGGTGACGGGCGGCCGGTGTCACTGTCCGGTGCGCCACCGCAACTGCTCAGAGCCCTACTTTACTCACCAGTCACCACCACCGCGCCACCGGATAAAAGGTGGTAACTGGTGCCGTTCCTGCCTTTTTTTGTTTGTCCTCTGCCGGTTTTCTCTATGGATAATTGAATGAAATTTGAGTAATACATATATGCGAATGTCATTTGTTATTTTCTGTGTTACTGAAATTTGAAAAATTGAATGAAATTGATTTTGAAATGAATGTAATTTTCAATTAGAAATTCTTATGAAATCTATATTCTATTATGTGAATTGCTTTGTATACTCGGCTTTGCAGTTGTGTGAAATTGTGATTTTGTTATCATACTTTATTGTTAAAATTGAAATGTTTTATACGAATTTTTGTAGTGTTTGATTGGACTTTTATCTCGGCTTGTCCCTCTGTTTAGATTGTTCCTTTATACTGGATTTATTTGATATTGTTTTTTTAGCATATGAAAAATCCCTAATTAACTCCAAGAACATTGGGTTTGAAATTTGAAAGTCCATTGAGGTTTTGGTTTATGACTTGAGATCTGCTTCACGTTGGCGCCTTCGTCCTAATTGTTTCTTCCCATTATGCTGAAAAACTACTTTGAATTCTAATGCAAACTTGATATCATTTTGAAATGTATTATTAAAATGCCCTATTTTCGCATTATTTATTTATGTATAAATATAGATATTTATGCAGCATTGGGAACCGTAAAAAGTCGAAGCACGCAGACCAAGAATTGGGAATGGCGGATCTGCAAGCCACAACAGATACGAATGGCATCGCGGATGCAGACCAAGAAAATGTCAATCAAACGCTGAGGCAATGTTCTTCCTCTGTTAGTGCCTCTGAATGTTCCAGAGCTGAAATCAACGAAGAAGACGAAGAATTGTGGAGACTTTTGATGCCGAGGATAGAAGACCTCCCCGCTGTTCCTCCATCTGCGGTCGAATCCAACTTCACCACCTACTATGCTCCCGGTACGTATGTATACCCTTTTCCTAATTCTTCTTCCCTCTGTGATTTGTCAAAAAAGCCATTCTTCTGAAAAATCCTATTTTTTAGATCCATCTGTAAGACTGAACCCTCTGATTTGATTATAAACTATAAATTACATTATGCTTCAATTTTTTTTTAAAAAACCAATGTATATTCTGCAAAAAAGTATAACTTGTTTCCTAAAAATAATCTCTTTACTTAAAGTATGACTTATTTCTAAATTTAATTTAAGAAAACATATCAAAGTTATAAATGGAAGCATGTGTTAGTAATATTTTCCGGGTTGAACTTTTCGGATGACCTTAAGTCTGTCTTGTGGTGATGATTCAAGGCATGTTAACTTAAGTGAGTGATTGAATCTTGGTACTCCTCCGATTAGGTTATGAAAACCAAATTCTTTGTGATGCTTAATTGTTTGAGGATTTTGTTTTCAGTTGAATGTTTTTTGTATGCAGATTTTATGAAACCTGGACATGATCAATATGTTCGTCGTCATCCCAACGGGTAATCATATATTCATATCTAGCGCTTTGGCTGTTATGTTATCAATGAGAATGGTTAGCCGAATTTAATCTTTGTTGAATGAAGGCTATGCGTGATTGGGCTAGCTTCAACTCATGTTGCCTTCAAGGACGAGGGTGGAATTACTTCTGTGGATTTCAATGTGGGGAAGTCTGATCGCAGTGGAATTAAAGTCACTGGAAAGCGAAAGAAGGTAACACTGAAGTGCAAATTATTATCTTCTTGTGTAGTCCATTATTTATTCTAAGAGGAATAAAATGTCAAATATGACACTTTTAGCTTCATTGGCTATGGATGCTGAAAGATAGGTTAGCTATCAATCAAGGATCTAGTAGATCACAACCATCAATCTATGACTTGAATGATTGAAACTATCAATTTTTATGTTTCTATACTTTGATAATCCTTATGTTAATTTTCAATGAAAAATCCTTCAATGATTATATATGAGATTTAATTAAGAATTTATTAAAAATAATATAAGAAAAGTAGAAAACAAAGAGAATTGAAATGAAATCATGAATTTTAGTTTTGGATTGATGGCTTCCATGTTTGTGATATATCCTCAACTTGTATATAACCTATCGTTCGGGTCTTGAATTGATAAAAATCCATTTTCGGGCAATCTATTGCAGAATGCGCAACAATTAGAGCCCAATTCAGCATTGTGCAAAGTGTGCACTAAGGAAACTTCATACATTGTCAGGTAGGGGGTCATTGCCTTTTTTCTTAATTGGAATTTCAACACTTCTTGTTTTTTTGCTAGAGTGTGATATATTTATTTGTTTGTTTCAATATTTGTATTTCGTCAGATGCTGTGTGAAAGGCTCTCTCTTGGAAGTCAATGACAGATTGATTGAACATCCGGAATTGTTGATATCATCGGTACGAAAACTTGACCGAATACACTTACTAATTTGTTCTTTTGAATCGCTTTCTACATAATTCATTGCTCTTTGGTTTTGGTATTGTGTGGTTTTGTTTTGCAGAATGACTTCCATTTGTCCATTGTTAATTAGACATTGTATATTGGTATAGGGTCCATTTGGTTAGCAAAACATGTTGATATGATATGATATATGCATTTTGAGATGATATTGGTTTTGAAATCTGAAATGCTTTTTTTTGAAAGGTTGTGATACCAAATCCCAACTACATTTAGGCTTCACCAAACACTTGCAAAAGGATTCTGATATCTCATATCATCCGCGCTCATCAAACATATCCTAAACTCATACTTAATAGACAATACGATATTGTAGGACCTCAGGCGCTACCAATTTTTCTAAAACCAATTGGTGTTGGGAGAAGTGCATACCCTAGCCTTATAGTGCATTCAGCACACACAAGCACCCACAACATTCGATTGTGACTTGGCCCACATAGCCTCCTCCACGGGACAATTGATGCACACACGGCCAATAATCTCCCCCTCAGCAATTGCGCCTGGGGAATCAAACTCGTGACCTTGGCTCCAATACCACTTGTAGGACCTCAAGCACTACCAACTCTTCTAAAACCAATTGGTGTTAGAAGAAGCCTAGCCCTATAGTGCATTCAGCACACACAAGCGCCCACGACGTTCGATTGTGACTTGGCCTACATAGCTTCCACCACAAGACAGATTATGCACACACGACCAAGAAATATGTGATACTTGACATAATGGTTATGTTTTTGTTACCCATTGATAGATACGGAGTATATACTAATATAAGCTATTGTTTAACCCCACATTGTATAGTTGAGTGTCCCTTATAAATATTTTTTCCTTGGACTCTGTGTGTAAATACAGGCGGACAGGGAGGGGTACATTGCAATCATAATGCCAAGGCCAACAGATTGGCCGAAGATCAAACCTTCTTTGCTGGCACAAGAAGATTTCACCAAGCTGAGAACAGTCTGAACTCTTCCTAGGTGGAGTAGATTTTCAGGAAAGGCTCGCAAACCGAGTTTTTTTTTTTGCGTTAAGTATTCTGTTACAATGTAGTATATGTTCATACATACTTTTCCAAGCAATTGAAGCACTGAGAGTTATCTCCGCCGTTAGGGTTTGTTTAAACATGTGACCTTCCATTTGGGAGAGCTATATTTATGTCGCTCAACAAATTTTGACAATTTTTTACCCATGTAGTATGTTTTTCGACACTTCGACAAATTTTGATTTTTTGTTCCAGATGAAAGACATGGGATTCCCTTGGAAACAGGCTTTGTATTTTTGAGTATGAATAAAGTCTGTGCACACTCTACTCAAACTTTATCGTTTTGGAAGCATAAAATGCTACTCCCTACGTCCTAAAATTAACTTCCCATTTAACTTTTCACGGTCTCTAATGCGACACTTTGACCAATAATATCTCTATTTTTATATGAATATATATAATAAAAATAATATATTTCAAAACTATGTTTCAAAATGAATCTATTGATAATAAATTTACATGAAAATTCAATATATTTTTTTTTGTAATATACAGTCAAAGTTTTAAAAGTTTGATTACAAAAGTCAAAATGAGAAATTAATTTTAAGACAGAGGGAGTATTTTTTATAGCACAAAATGGTTTTTTAAATACAAACAGTGGATGAGATTTTTATTTGACTCTCTATGGATTGCTGACTCAAACTCAAATACCAAGTCTCAATCTCTCGTCACCTAAATAATCAAGCAACAAGAGGCTGTGTTGTACAAATTAATGAAACATTGAAAATCATGTAAAATAATCAAAGAACTCCTTAACAAGAAGCTATATATGTTTTGACATTAAAATATTAATGGAACGTCATTAAGGTTCAATTTTTTTGTGGGATTCTATTTGCTTGTTGTTGTGGGAACATTATTGACATTGAGACATTAAAAAACTTAAAAAACATATATTTAAAAAAAGTACTTTGGGT